AGAGGGGCTTTTGTTCCAGTTTTTGGGTTTTAATTGTTGTGTGTGGGGCTCTCAAGAGCCACTAAGCAAGGTGCCCATACACTCACATGGGGTGGCCCACGTACTATAAGGAAGCAGAGCATAGGGCTCAGGCAGATAGATGGTTTAGTTTGTACCCCTGAACTTCCATTTGTAACATTGTGGCATGTATAATGACACGAGAGCCAGTGGGCAACCCTGGAGCTTGACATGCCTCTCAGGGGCTGAGAAGGACCTTAGAGGACAGAAGTTGGTTCGATGATATGACAGAGATTCAGAGGGGTCTGCAACACCAGCAAAGGTGGAGGATTGAAGAAAGGTCAAGTTCATAGGATAAGCCAACAGGTGATAGCCAAACCAACCAAGAAAGAATGAATAGCTGAATCATTAACTGCACTTATTAGCCATGGAATATGAAAGAATGGCCACATATGGGATCGATCCAGCCATTCCACAGAAGATTCCAGACAGACATTGCAAGGGCCAGTGTAAGGCTAAGGGATATGTGAATCCTAACATCCCGAAGTTTATGTCTCTTACCATTTACCAAGACACCGGTTTGGACTGAAGCAAAGAAGGCAGGGAAAACTCTAATGACTGAACATCTTCCAAAGACTGATTTAAACCAAAAGAGGCTTTCAGTTATTGGCTTAGACTACATTCTAATCCAGATTGTACTAAATTTAATTTCCCCACCATCACTAGACTGGTTGGAGCCTTTATGAGGAAGATCAAATCAGTTATACAAAAACCATGTTTTCCTTGCATATTTGGGTTGTAATGTGATAAACATATGTAATGGGGCAGAAAATTTAATGATCTCAATAGTTGTTGGTTCTCTAAGGGTTGAAACTAGGAGAAGCTATACTTCCTTGAGTTTGAACAACGCTGGAGAGACCAGTGGGATGAAGGCTCTACAACTAGGTCATTAGGCTGTGGGCCAGCTGAATGTGTTGCCCAGACAAGGCCTGGAGGTCCTATAAAGGAACACATATGTCTAGTTTGCAGAGTATATGCAACAGCCTAATGATTAAGCCACTGGTGGAAAATTTCAATCTGAATACGATAGCATCTGGGATGAATGACTTCTCTGTAAATGTCTGGCTTGTGTCTGAACGATCTGTTTCTCCACCATTGTGAGCATTGACTATCCATAAAAAGCTCATCATGGTCAGAAACGATGTTCGTTCAGCTGTTGGTCAACAATATAAACAGTCTTGTTTGGATCAAGTCTTTCATCTCTTTAGTGTGATTTCATACTTAATATATTTTGCATACTAATGCACTTTGACTAGAGAAATATTATTCTTGCAATCTCTTTTAAATTGTGAGCTGTTTCTTTTGCTTAACAAAAGATGCTTGCTGTTTCTTTGGTGTAGGGATAAGAGGTTGTGCCTTAATCATTTTACAAACAACTTTAATATCATTCCAAGGGGTTGGTTTCCTCTCTTTTGAGAGTAGTGATGAGGAGTGAAGAAGAGAATAATGTAGAATGGAGAACTGAGGCAAAGAAATGTGTAATTATCTTTCCTTTTTACTGTTCCATATATTGGTTTAATACAGGTATCACTTTTTTCCATATTACTACATTTCTGAAGTATATAAAACCTTGAACCTTTGTCTAAAACTAGGACGCAGAAGTTCCCTTTAAAAATGTTATCTAAACAGTCACATTCAATTTTATTTTCCTTCAAAATGTGGGTTCTGAAAAGACCTTTTTGTAGGTTTCTTTCCAGATAACCCGTATTATGAACCATGAATCAATGTGTTCTCAATATCTGTACAGAGAGTCCATCTTCCACCTCATGAAAGCTTCAGGCAATAAAGAACAGCACATTTTGGGGGGTCAGGTTACAAAGTTTTGGGGAGGAATGTGTGACAAATGGTGGAGAGATCAAGCTTGAAAAACATTCCTTTCCATATATATTCTCACCCGAGGACACTTTTTCATTTATCTTCAGATAGAGTGGGAAGGAAAGAGAGAGGAAGAAAGAGAGAAACAGTATGTGAGAGAGACACATCAAGTGGCTGCCACCCACACGACTCCAACTGGGGCTGGGGACAAACTGCAACCGAGGTACGTGCCCTTAGTGGGAATCAAACCTGGTACTCTCCGGTCCACGGGCTGACGCCCTAACCGCTGAGCCAAACAGGCCAGGGCTCCACCCATATATATTTAAAGAGAGCTTGAACAAAAAGTTGAATGTCCTGGGTTTCTAGCCCTACTCTGCCTCCAAGGCCATGAGTGACTTTGGCCATTTTTACTTTCTCACATCTTTAAAATAGGTGCTGATTTCACAAAGTTGATGCGAGCCTAAAAAAGAGCTAAAACCTGTGAAAATACCGAAATCATTCTAAGATACTACACAATCATGAAATCTTAACCATATTATAGTTGCTAAAATTATCCAATATTTTTTCATTATATTTTCAAATAATCTGCATATTCTGACCCTTTTCTTATTCCCATTTTTTGTTCAGAAACAGCGTTGCTTTTTCTCATCACGTTAGGGTGTCTTCCTTATCAGGATGAGAAGAACATTCGGTTTCCCCATTTTTCAGATGTACAAGGAAACCCAACATCCCCATCTATGCCAAACCTGTGACAGTTGATTGATTGTTAATAACCTTGACAATGTTATTTTTCTTAGAGAAAAAGGAGACTTGATGACTTCTTTGTTCAATTTCACCTAAAGAGTAGTCTTGCCCGGTGCACACTGTAAGTGTCATTGGTAGGGAATTGTCCAGGAGGCATTCAGTATGTAAATTTTCTAATTAGATCAATGTAAAAGAGCAGTCGTACATTCTGTTATAGCAGTGTGTCTGGTTCCATTAATAAAACCTCCCGAAGGCATGCACTACTAGTTTTCTCAATTAGTTTGTCCCAGATCATTTCATCTTAGGGTAGGGAGGGGAGGAAGGGTGGAATGCGAGGGTGAAGGGAGGTGGTATATTTACAGGTATTTCCTCCAGCTGAGAGAGCTGTCCAAATTTGTCTCATGTTCCACCTGGTCACTACATTGGTCTTTAAAGAAACACTTGCCTGCATTGTATTTGGGAAAATGAAAAATCAAATCACAACTTTTTTCCATCTTCTCCCCCTGATGAAACAAATGCCACCTCCGCCAGCACCGCCCTCTCCCTCCCTTCTCTTCCTCCTCCTCCCACACCTCTTTATTTGTGCTTTCCAGAGTAAGGGTCACTCTGTAAAGTTCCTAGCACAGTGTCTGGCACATCATTGTAGTTTCCTTAAGCATTTGCCTCCTTTTCTTTCTCAAGGGTAGAGCGTGCCCCAGGCCTCTGCAAATGTAAAATAAATACCATGGGTACAGGTTGCAAAGAAGGGGACCCTATTTATTGTGATGAAAAAGTTTGCAGTCCTTTCCCTTTACACATGATTTTGAGCTCATGGGCTTGTAGAGCTGTCTGTACAAGAACATGTGTAATGAGAGTATTGTAAGCTCTGGGACTCCAGAGGGACGGAGTGAGGTAGAGAGGGGTAACCTCCCGGCAGAGAACACAGGCAGGTACTGTGTTGTTGACTGTTGCTCTGTGCTCTTCGCCTTCCCTTCACACTGCTCTTCCTACAATTATTTTGTTCACCATGTGGAGGTAAGTCTTGGCTGAGCATTATTTTCAAATTCCTCTCTCCTCCTTTCCCCCAAGAGTTAAGAAGCCATTTGGAGAATATGGAGAGCAGTAAGAAGTAAACAGCAGAGGAGTCAGGCAGGAAAATGGTATTAGGAAGACTGGTAACAGAGGACAAGTGTAAATGTCTAGCAGGCCTGAATAGTCCTAGTTTGCCTTGTCTACCTAGTCTATCTAGTCTGTTTATTTTACCTAAGAGAATAAAATAATTTACTTGAATAAGGTGTCCTTTAAGAAAAATATTTGCAAATCATATGTATTTTTTTAAAAAAGTACATTTTCATTGATTTTTTAGAGAGAGATGGAACCATTGATGTGAGAAACATCAATCAGCTGCCTCCTGCACGCCCCCTACTGGGGATCGAGCCCACAACCCAGGCCTGTGCCCTGACCAGGAATCGAACTGGGACCTCTTCGTCTATGGGACAAGCTCAGTCCACTGAGCCACACCGGCCAGGCAAGGTGTGTTTTTTAAAATTACTCTTCCCATCCCTCCTGAAAGACATAAACCAAGAGGAAGCATGGACAACTCATAGAATTAGAATGAGAAGGAATGAGCTTTAATTTGACTTTATCACTTCCAAATTGCCTATCCTATAATCATTTACACCTCTGATACTCAGTTTTCCCATCTATAAAATGGAGACAACACTACTGGCTTTACATAATTTACAGGATTGTACTGCAAACGTGATCAAATATTGAAAATCTTAAGTAAATTTTATTACCTTATATACTTCTTTGCTCATTTTATGCAGATACCACACACATAATACTAGTAGAGTCATTCCAGAGTAGCTGTTTTAAGGAGGATAATGGAGAAAAAGAACTAAACAGGAAGCATTGAGTAACTATTGAATTAAGAAAGCTTTTTTTTTTTTTTTTTTTTTATTTTTTTATCCTCACCCGAGGACATTTTCCCATTTTTTGTTCAGGTAGAGTGGGAGGGAGAGAGAGAAACAGAGAGAGAGAGAGAAACATCGATGTGAAAGGAACACATCGAGTGGCTGCCACCCACACAACCGACCAGGGCCGGGGACAAACTGCAGCCGAGGTATGTGCCCTTAGCGGGAACCGAACCCGGGTCTCTCAGGACCGCAGGCCGACGCTCTAACCGCTGAGCCAAACCGGCCAGGGCTTTTTTTTTTTTTTTTTTTTTTTTAAAGTCTTAATGACCAATATAGGCAGTCATTCAGTGCCAAGCTCAATAAAAATGTAAACGGAGGTACACTAGTTAGGAGTAGTTATGATAATTATCAATTATAATATAGGTTTATTGCATGATAATATATTAGTTTAAACCATATAAAATTGTTGATATTTGACCTACAAAAATGGTGATTTCATATGGTTCAGCTGTCCTAGGAGCAAGAGGTACAGAAGGCATTGTGGAGGTGATCTAGACTACATGATTGAGAATGAGTTGATGGGTTTGGAAAAGGAAGGGGATCTAGGTTGCTCAAGAGGGCAGATTAAAATAGCTAACCATGGATCCAGTATGGAGAAAGTCCAGAGGAGTCATGAGAGGGTGTTAAGATACTGGGGAAATTGGGATGGATTGAGAGATCATCTCTTCTCCAAGCGCTCTTCTCCCACCTTGCCATCGGGGTCTCTCCTCTCCCAGATCTTATCTCAGGGAAGCCTCCCCCGTAGTGCTCTTTGATTTTTCTTTACAACACTTAAGAACACAGTTATTGTGTATGTAGGAGTGTTTACATCTCTGTCAGTTCCACTAGACTGTGGTGCTCCACCAGGCAGGGCTGTGTTGGTCTTGTTCACTACTACAGCTCCAGCGCTTGGCACAGTGTCTGCCCCCAGAGTTTCAGAGTGCCCGGGAGAGTATGGCTGGGTAATGTCAAGGAGTCTGATGGGCGATCGTGGAGGATGGTGATTAGTGAAGTATAAAAGCTGATGGTACAGGGACAGGAATAAAGTGAGTCAGAACCAAGGAGAACAGAAGAAATCGATCAGGTGTTAAGGGCCGTGGGCGAAGAGGCAAGCAAGGACTGGTGTGGTCTGAAGAACCTGGAACAAACAAATTGACTTTAAATCACTAGAACTACAAAAAGAGGGTCTGTTTGATACAGCTGTGGAAGTGCCCTTAATACATGAGAAAGACAGCTGCTCCCTTTTCCTCCCTAGTCCCACTCTTCGAGCTGGAAGATACGGGGAGAAAACGGTTCTTCGTGAGAGAAGGCATTGTGACCTCAAGGAGTCAAGTTCAAGGGACAAAAAAGGGAAGTGAGGTTACAGAAAAGACAGTGAACCCACAGTACAGCTGTGGTCTCAAAGGACACGTGAGCACGTTTTCGGAGGAGGGTGGGAGAGTGAGGAGACTGGCCTGGAGTGGCAGGTGTGGAACGTGCGCGATGAGGAAGCCCCCGAGGAGAGAGGTGGAAGGAAGGAGAGGAAGAGCTCTCCCTGTGGTGCGGGGCTGCGGGGCGCGGGGCTGCGGGGCTGCGGGGCTGCGGGGCGCGGGGCTGCGGCGTATTCCGGGGCCCTTCTGCAGACCTGGGGTTTCTGAAAAGATGGCTAATGAGGCAGTGTTCCCACTGCCTTCTTCCTCAGCTAATTTAAGATTGAAAAGGTAGAGGTTGAAGTCCCTGCCCTAAAGTTTAGTATGGAATTAGGAGAACAAGCAAATCTCTCTCTAATTATTCAAGTTGTTTAATGATATGCTTTAACAGTTATTTTGCTGCATGGCAATTAGATTCAAATGGTAAGTCAGTCACATAAATGAATATAATTAGTAGTGTTTTTGCATAGTTAAATCAAGCATTTAGAGGCCTGTTAGGCAAATGGTGGTCCAGGGAGAAGGAGAATGTGTGGCTCCTGGCAGTTCCCTTGCTAACGGGAAGGATTGTTTATTGTCCCAAATTCCCTCCTTGGTGTGTTCCCTAGGAAGGCAGCTGCCCCCTTCCAGTAAGATCATCTTATGACTATTTATAGTTTAACTTTGTCCTTCTCTCCAAACTGAGGCACAGAGGAAGAAGGAGGGATGAAGAAGGGGTGGGGGCTGGATGGGTAAACAAACACCTTTCTGCCAGAAGAGTACGGAAATTTCCTGACTTTGGAAAAGTATCTTATCGTGTCTTGCCTCAGTTCTCCCCTCCCCCAATTTTATAATATATTTTACTGTCTCAAATTATTTCAAACATAGAGGGAAAGAATGTAAGTACCCCCACCCATTTTGAGCTTTACCAGATTTTAACATTTGGTATATAACTTCAGGATTTAAAGAAATGAAAGAAGTGGTAATCACAGGCACAGGTGAACCCTTTCTCATACCGCTCTCTGATCTCTTTTTTTGGAGTGTGGAGAAGCCACCATGCTGAAGGAGGTATGCATCACTCGCATGCATATTTTTATACTTCTACTACATAGGTGTGTTTGTCAAAATAAATATAAAATTTTTGGTTTTAAATTTCAGATAAATGATATACTATACGCTTGAGCTTAAAGGGGTTTATTCAGAGGTAAGCTAGAGAATAACCAACTATCAAACTTCAGCCACATGACGTCAGCATTAAATTATCTTACAGATCAAGAATTTCAGAGGTAGGTGATTCCAGGTCCGGTATAGCAAGATGTTCAGTTGTATCATCAAAGACCTGGGCTGCTTGTACCCTTCAGCTCTGCAATGCTTAGTGGTTGCATTGCTCTCCTTAGACTGGTTGTCTGAGGTTAGCAGGATGACTGCAACCAAGATTATAGTCTCATACAACTACATTTAAGGCAGGACAAAAAGGGAAGAGAGCAAAATATTTCCCGTATTACGTTCCCCCCACCCTCTTGTATACACTCTGCATAGTCCTGGGACTACTGTCAGTATAATGGATTTAACTCCCAAGGTTCGGTTATGTTTTATGGCACAGCTAACTTTCAGATAGAGAGATGATCCAGGTGGTTCTGAGCTAATCCCATGAGCCCTTTTGTAGCAGAGGTTTCTCCAGCTGGTCACAGAATAGAAAGTCAGAGATCCAAAGCAGAGAACAATCAGTGCCTTTTGCTTGAGTTAAATGGAGGGCATTGCATAGCAAGGGATGCAGGTGTTCCCTTCACGCGGAGATGGACCCTGGATAACAAGCAAGGAAGTGAATACTTCAACCCTAAAGTTGCAAGGAACCGAGTTCTGGCAACAAGAATGAGCATGGAAGATTTCCCCCCAGAGCTTTTAGATGGTAGCTCAGTCTAGGCAAAAGCTTTATTTCACCTTGAGATATTCTAAGCATGGAACCCACCTATTCCATGCCAGACTTCTAACCTATAGATGGTGAGCTAATAAGTGAACATTGTTTTTAAGCTACTAAATTGTGGCGTTTTGTTACACAGCAATAGAAAACGAATACAACCTACCCAATAATATTGAGTAAAATTAAAATGCATCCAATAAAGTATTCTACTACTATTGGAAACTAAGTTATAAAAGCATATTTAATGACATAAAAATTCTCATGATATATTAAGAAAAAAACAAGATACTAAACTATATGTAACTGCATGGAACTATACATATGTATGATTCCAAATGCATATCTTGGTAAAGTACACTGTACTGTACTTTAGTGTCTTCATCTGTAAAATAAATTGTACATTTTATACATAAAATAAAGATTCTATATTTCTCCCTTATAAAAACTAATATAACCTTATTAACTATTTGTTTTTCCTAAAACACAATAAAAAAAGCAGGATGAATTCTTGATTCTTTGCATTTATGTACCAAGTTTTAGAAGAATAAATTGGTGCCCTATTAACCTCCCAAATTAACTAGTGAGGTTTTAAAAATCACTGTGAACTCATGGATTAAAAAATTTTTAATTCATTTTAATATTTTAATTCATTGTAGCTATTATTCTGTTTGATGTTCAAATCATTCCATCTTTGGCGAGTGTTAGCATCTTCAGGTTGGCTCCTATGTCTCTAAACATGACCTCTTTGGTCTTTGATAACTTGTTTATTTTCAGGCACAGCCACATATTTAGGGACAACTTGGTATATTTTCTACTCCAGAATGGCAGCCAGCCATTTCTTCAAGGAGCTCTGGCTTATTTTAGTAGGAAATAGTATGTAGAGACCAAAGTGTAAATGTTAGAGATAATCTATATTAATTTACATGGTTTCTAGATCATTCTGGTGTACACAGCTGGAAGAAAACCTTGTTTGTCAATGACATTAATATAAAACTTATGTGCTCGATTTTTCCATCTATCTGATAGTTTAAATAACAACATTATCAATAACAAGACTAATGAATGCCATTTAGGATTTTTCTATGCTTTTTTTGTTCTTATGGTATATTCGACTAAGAACGTACAGTTGTATTGGTGTGTTTTAAAATTGTTTGACATAATTACTCTCTGTGTCATTGTGATTCTAAATTGATATACAATTAATATTCTTTTGTTATGCTTTGCTTTTTATCCTTAGAGATTGCTTAATTTCCTTTTTTATTTAATTAAAATGTATATATTATTTACATGATTCCAAAGTCAAGATTGTAAACCAACTTGTGTCCAAGGGGTTTAGCTATTTGGTTGTATATTGATTACAGTGGACTCCTTTCCACCAGATGGTGGCAGGGATTTCTTCTTATCAGAATGGACACTGTTGTAGACCTGGGTTTGCCTTCTTTGCCAGTAGAGAAATTCCCAGAACCACCATCTGAAGACTTAACAAATGCTTGAAATATGTGAATAATATTCCGTACAACATAATCTCAGAATAGGGATTATTTTACAGCAATAAAGAGATGTGACAATAGGCACAAGATTGACAGGTCTTATCTAAACTTCATCAACCTAGTAGAATGGTGGAATGGTAACCAACTGGTAAGTGGTTGGTTAAGGCAATAGCTCAGGAATAATTGCTAGAGTTTGAGTACTATACTCCCAGAGGTGGTACATGCATTGAACCCCAGGCTTGGTTCTGAGTTTAACTGTTAGAATATAAGAGTCTGGAAGTTAATAGGTAAAGGCAAGGTTGGCCCTTCTCCCAATAACTCCTAGTGATCCATTTGTAAAATTTGTACTTCCTATCCTCATGAACTGGTTCTGCTGGATTAGAAGTTCTGGTTTATGATGAGTGTGGGGAAACATTTCCTTCATAGTGAACTTGAAACTATTACTACCATCTGTGGGTTCTTTGGACTCTTCATGCCTAAGGACCAACTGTTACTATACTGGCAGAGAAAATTAAACCTTATTGTCATGAAGACTTAAGTTTACTGCTACATAGTAGAGCAGAGAGGAGTATGCCTGAAAGAAGGAATTCTCCAGGGTGTCTCTTGGAGCTCCCATGCCTGGTAATGATTAACCAGCAATTGAAGCAACCTCAACCAGGGAAAGTAAATTAAAGTCTCAGACCCCTTAAGGATGATGGTCTGGGTCTCCCCCAAGCATGCAATCTAGAACAGCCAAAATGTGGACATGCCTTAGATCACCGAATCCCTATAAACTTCATAAATGAATAAGGCTTCTGAATCTTATAGTGTTTAACTCTCACTATCTGGAGGACGTTTTACCAAGAGATCCAGAGTAGCTGCCACTTCTTGCTCATGAGTATAAATAACAAAATGTCATCAATATAGTGGACCAGTGTGATATTCTGTGGATTGTCCAGATGGTCCAGGTAACTTCAGTCAATATTATTTTTCTTAATTATTATCATATCTTATATTTATTTATCTATTTTTGAACTTTGTCAAATTTTTAGGGGTGACATTGGTTAATAACATTATATAGGTTTCATGTGTACAGTTCTATAATACATCATCTGTATATTGGATTTTGTGCTCACCAAGAAAAGTCAAATTTCCTTCTATCACCATATATTTAATCCTCTTTATCACTTACTACCTTCCCTCACCCACCTACCTACCCTCACCCTCTGGTAATCACCACATTGTTGTCTATGTGAGTTTTTATTTCTTTGTTTGTTTTGTCTATTCATTTTTTCCTTTCAGTTTTATATTCTACATATGTGTGAAATCACATGACTCTTGACTTTTTCCGACTTATTTTACTTAACTTGATGTTCTCAAGATTCATCCATGTTGTCGCAAATGACAGTATTTCATCTTTTCGTACGCCTGAGAAGTATTTTATTGTGTATATATACCACATCTTCTTCATCCAATAATCTACCCAGGAATACTTTGGTTGTTTCTATGTCTTGGCCGCCAGGAATAATAGGGCAATGAACTGAGGGGCACACGTACATTTGAAAATAAATGTTTTCAAATGTTTCAGGTAGATATATAGAAGGGAGATTTCTGGATCATATGGTAACTCTATTCTTAATTTTTTGAGGAACCTCCATACTGTTTCCATAGTGGCTGTACCAGTTTAAAAGGAACCTTCATTCAGTCAATGTTTTAAGAGAGTAGATTTAACATAACATCAGAGTATCTCTCTACTAGAAGAGAGAGATGAGAGTTTATTTATATTTCATTGTTTTTATCCTCACTCTAGGACACTTTTTGCATTCATCTTCAGATAGAGCAAGAGGGAGAGAGGGAGGAAGAGAGAGAAACATCAATGTGAGAGAGACACATTGACTGGCTGCCATCCCACCCCAACCAGGGATGGGGACAAACTGCAACCAAGGTACGTGCCCTTAGCAGAAACCAAACCCAGGTCTCTCTGGACCACGGGCCAACGTTCTAAAGGCTGAGCCAAACTGGCCAGGGTGTGAGTTTCCTTAAATGTTGATAAGGGGGCCTCCACACTTTCCTTTGAACTGGTGATTGATTGCTCTGATGCTGCCTTCTTCTTTCTTCAAAGCAACTATGGTAACAACCCCCCATTTCCACAGACTTTATAATGATCATTTCTGTTTCTCCTCAAACACCAGCAATGTTGTATGAGCCAGTTTTTCCTTTTTGCCTATATCCTGTCCAAGTTAATCACAGGCATAATTTTGTTACAACATGCTAGGGACTATGGGCACCTCACCTGTCACCAACAATGAAACCCTCCTCCAGCTGGCCCGCAAGTGATTCAACTCTAGGACAGTAACGTTGGAGTCTGCTTCCTAGGAACACTCCTATACCAACTCTTTTAGGTCATGTTGTCTAAAAGCAGAGCCTGAGACAGGTGTTCAGGTGGACATTATTTACTTTCTCGGGAGAAAAGGAGGAAAGAAACAGGGTAGGCAGTGGAAGGCATTTAAACTAGGATGAAATATCAGATGGAGTCTGGTTTTATCTGGTTTTCCACGTGGAGCTCTAGGGCCTGAATTACAACATCGTGTTTTGTTTTGTTTTTTTATCCTCACCTGAGGACATTTTTCCATTTGTCTTCAGATAGAGTGGGAGGGAAAGAAGGGGGAAGAGAGAGAGAGAAACATCGATGGGAGAGAGAGACATTGAGTGGTTGCCACCCACAGGACCTCAACCAGGGCGGGAACAAACTGCGAACCAGGTACGTGTCCTTAGCGGGAACCGAACCGGAACTCTCTGGTCTGCCAGCCGGTGCTCTAACCGCTGAGCCAAACCTGCCAGGGCATCAGGTTGGTTCTTGAAGCAAGTCTATTCTTGTCCCCAGGTAGTCATTGGCTGTGATCTATTCTCAGGATTGGGGTGGGATATAACCTCCCAAATTAGGCAACTCTTGTTTCATCAAGGACAATAACCTAGAGAAGGTTTTAGTTTCATGCCCTAATTAGCCAACAACACCAGCTAGAGTATGGGTACAACAGTCCTGGTCACCCTTTTCTTCCTCGGCTTCCTGGCCCAACCTGGTGCTTCTCCATGTGGACTTAAACTGATGCGAATGCAGTTTAGAATTGATATCTCTGAGCTCAAAAGTGCGCCGCGCGAATCTGGGCTGGCTTTGTGCAGCCTCTCTTCTTTAGAAGCCGGAACTCTTGCCGGTCGCTCAACGTTTTCCAGTCGGCAGGGAAAGCGCAGTTCCGGCTGTCCCGGAAGTTCTTTCACAGTCGTTCCCCAGGCAGTGCTAGAGCCGCAGCCGCAGCCGCAGCCGCTCTCCACCGAGGGAACGTAGGCGGTCCCGGTCCGCTTCCAGAGAGAGAACGAAGGCCCCAGAAAGGTCCCAGTGCCGGGAGAAAGATCGGAAAAGGAGCCGTTTGCAATCCCCGCACAGAAAACGCTCCAAATCCCCAAGACGACATAGATCCACATCTCCTTCCCCCTCTCAAGGGAAAGAAAGAAGAGATGAGGAACAGAAAGAAACAAAGAGCGAAGAACAACAGATTACTGAAGAAGACTCAGAGGGCAAAACAGAGGAAGAAATGGAAATGATGAAAGTAATGGGATTTACTGCCTTTGACTCCACTAAAGGAAAAAGGTTGGATGGCAATGTAAATGCCTATGTCATAAATGTGTCTCAGAAGAGGAAGTACAGAGAGAGCGAAAGGGAGAGGGGGAGAGGCAGTGACAGAGACAGAGAAACATCGAGGCTGGAGAGACACATGGATCGGCCACCTCCACACGCACCCCAACTGGGGACCGAACCCGCCCTGACAGAGAATCGAGCCGGTGACTAGTCACCGGACTATGCTAAACCAACTGAGCCACACTGGCCAGGGCTCAAATTATAGATTTTAAATAGATTTCTCGCCCAGATTGATGCTGTAAGGATTTCAACTGTAAATATATTCTTCTGTTAGGTATACTTTTTATTAACACCACAGGAAAAACCAATTCATACTTGAAATCTCACTGAATTCCTCATGAATGGAAAAATCAAGAAGACATCTTCAAACATTGCCTTTCTCTCTACTTTTATCACTGATAAAAGACTAACATTCTAATTAATTTAAAATGTGAATAATGTGATTTGAAAATGCTGGTGAGTTAAGAACCAGAATGAATCATCATTGACATTCCTTTGTAAAGTTACTTCCAAATAAAGTTTTATGAAGGAAAAAACAAACAAACAAACAAACACAGTCCTGGTCAAAAGGATCTGGCCAGAACATCAGCACCATTCATGACAGCACGAAATATACTTTCAGAGCAAGACAGAGAATTTGACCAAATGGACTGAAGTAGCATTTAAGTTACATTTTTAGAGATAGTTTATCATAAGGTGAGCACGATCCGCACAATCCTTTTCTCGTGAAATTGAGCGATGCCGACAGGGCAGACATTTGCTGGTTCGGACACATCTGGACATTACCTCTAAAGACAGCCACAGACATTAGGTTAATTTGTCTTCAGTAAACTATGAGTAAATTCTAAAATTATAGTGTTATTTCCATCAATTAATTCTGTAATTCTTCAAAATTTTTGACTATTTTGAGCTCTGAATGTTCAGGCATGGGGAGTGAGCACATCCCTGGCTGCCATCTGCTCAGTCCACATGTCCACATGTAATCTGCATTTTCGTGCTTTGAGCAAATCAGCAATGCTCTTTTGTTCCCCCGCAGTCTCAGGTTCAGGGTGCTTAGACGTCTTGTCATATTCACAAGGATGTACAGCCTTCTGAGCCACTGGGGGTCTGACAAGTTGGGTCTCTCAGAGCCTATTAATTCCAAAAAGTCCTTCATCTGAGGTAGCAGCTCAATAAATATCTTCAAGTTTCAATGACTCAGTCATCTGAATGCATTAAAATAAAAGAAGTCTGTCACCATGCTCCTGTTATTCTAAACTTCTTCTTTGAAAAGCACATAAACTCTTTATGGTTAAGGACATATGATGAAGAAAATTCAGTTTTGATCACTTCTACATAATGCAATGAACTTGAATTGCACAATTCATAGCGCAATGGTGCTTTATAAGCAGAACATATCACCCTTATGTTTTGAGTTGAATAAATTGCCGAAGTAGTTCTTTTTCTTTTTATTTCAAGTGTCTTAATGATAGTACCCAAACTTAACTTTTCCTGTTTAAATGTTGTTTTCAAATTCCTTATTGATAAGCTATTAGATATTATTAGTTTTTAAGTGCTAGCTAATTAGATAAATCTTTTTTTTCTTTTTTCTTATATTTTCCTTCCTCCCTCCCCTCCCTCCCTCCCTCCCTCCCTCCCCCCTCCCTCCCTCCCTCCCCCTCCCTCCCTCCCTCCCTCCCTCCCTCCCTCCCTCCCTTCCTTCCTTCCTTCCTTCCTTCCTTCCTTCCTTCCTTCCTTCCTTGTTAAAATCTTTGACTGAAAGCTTCCTAGCCACTCCTGGGGGAAGGCATGGACTGAATTTGACCTACAGGGCCCACTTTTACTTTGGGCCAAGTGAGTGACCTTTAATTCTATCCTGTGAAAGTTTCAGGAGGTGAAGAGTAATATACAACTTTCATGCTGTAAAGAATGAAGAAACATTCAGACAACTTTTGAACTTAAAATTAAATGTATTATTTGGAAACTTAAATGACTCCTTTATTTCCAGGACAAATTTCTTGAAGTTCCACGAGAAAATATATCTTCCTGAAAAAAATTAAGCCAGACAAAGCAGTTCCTCATACGGAAAGCACCGATAACCAAGACATCAAGAGTAGTATTTTGCATCAAATTTATTTATTTAAAATAGACTTGGTTTCTTAGAGAAGTCAAATTACAAAGGAAAAAGAAGAGAATAAAATGTACTCAAGCTTTTCTGTGACCTTCTTTCAGTTAGAGAAGTGGAATGATTTAAGGTATGTTTTCAGATGGAATAGGCAGAGCTTGGTTATTTTCAGCATGATTGTAAGGATGTAAATATCAGCAGGGTGACTGAAGAATAAATAGAAGGTGTGAATTTTGATGCTGGGTTTGGAGTCCATTCTTTAAGCAGTTTGACTATGATATGGAATAGAACAAAAGAGTGGAAATAAAAAGAGAGTACATGGTGTTCTTCTAAAGATGTGATTACACTGAAATGCATTAGAGCACTAATAAGAAATACTTGGTCTAGATGGGGAAATTGAAGATACAGGAAAAGGCAGATAATTGAAAAATAAAGTCTGATAAGTTGAGAAGGAAAGGGATCTGGAGCTCACATTGGAGGGATTGACGTCTGATGTAATAGGAGGAAAAAAGGAGTTCATAGAGCTGCATAACATTTGTAGACCGTATAAAGGTTTTGCTAATCTTTCTGAGATAGAATAAACTTTTGTCTTAGGATGGAAAAGAGTAGAATTTTCCTAGGTATTCTCGTAGCCAAATATTACATCAGACCTTGGAGCTCCCTCTAAGTGCTCTGCTTGTCACCATTCATAATCCCCTTGTTAACACTCACGTTCTCCTCAGAAACTCTGCCAGCAGAATTATATGACTTCTGGAAGTTCATACCTCTCAATCTCAGTGCTTTTAAACCTTTCCTAAAAGTTCAACGGTTGGCCCATTAACATAGCTACTTGCCTTGACCGTCCACAACAGGTTAAGTAAAGGTTGTTCTTACTTCTCTCCAAGCTTATTGGATATAGAAAATGATATTTCTTCTTACTTTATCTACATTTTCTGCCAAAATTTAATTTCCTTTGGACCTGCCATAACGAAATAAATAGGCACTAACACTAATATCTCTGAAATTGACAAGGTGTTCCAGAAATCATTAAGCCTAGAAAATATTCTTTAGAATTTCAAAGAAATAGTAGGCATTAAAAGGGGAAAAAATAGATCAGTGTTATTACTTGTGAGCGATTTGTAAATTCTGACATTATTTTAGTGCTATTAGTAAATGCGCAGTTATTTAAGGATGGTTTTTCTTAGTCATTGGAAAGATGTGGCAGGCTCGTCACACCTCATAGAATACAGCAGACAGTGATGGCTGATCCCAGAGAAAGAGCAGGACAGACCGGAATCGACAGAACACTGTTGCACTATTTGCTCTTCTTGACTCCACTTCTTACTTCTTCTTTCTTTCCTAAGAAGAGTGTGTATATGGTGAAAATTTGATATCCCCAATACTTATGCCATGTCATCTTTTATGCCTGCTAATAATTATAGGATAAAAAGGAAAAACTTCAGGGTCAAGTATTTTAAAGTGCACTTAAAACTTGAATCAAAATACAACAAATTATAACTCTCTCTGCTTAACTTTCAGGTAAAGGAAGAAATTGCAGGACCAAGATACCATCAGAAGCTTAGATAGAAATAAAAGCCCAAAGCAAACCTGCTTGCATAGCTTTTTTCCTTGATTCTCCTTGTTTTTAAACCAGCTCTGTTAAAAGATGGATCTGTGTTCTCTCTTCTTGAAACTAGGTGGTTCTGTGAATACGGAATTGACGTTGTGTGATTTCTGAGGCTAGGTTAGAAAACATGACACCTTTAATCTTTTCTTTTCTTTTGAGATGTTTGTCCTTTGATTTAAATTCTATGAGGGTGCCCAGACTAGCTCATGCAAATGAAGAGGACCATGTGGAGAAGAACTGAGACCCTGAGAAAAATGCCAAAATTAACGGCCACACGTGTAAATTACTGAGTGAGTCTTCTGTTGACTCCAGCCCCTAGCCACAGAGTCATTCTGGCTGACCCTACATGGAGCAGGGCTGAGCTGACTCTGCCAAGCCCACTGTAGATTTCTGAACAATATCACTTATCACTTAATAAGCTACTGATTTTGGGAATGTTTGTTACGTAGCAATAATAACTAGAACACCCTGCTACAAAAATATCCCTTCTGTTTTTGGTATGTTTAATTGTTAACTTTTTGCCTCACCTATGAATGTATTCAAGTTTCTCATTTTAAAAACCCAATTTTTCCTTTACATTACCCTTCCAGCTCTTGCTCCAGAGATCTCTTGAGTATTCTATACTGGACCCTGGCCATTTAAAAAAATAATTAGTCAAAAGTCAATTTGCTGGGAATAAAATGCACAAATGTCTGATTTGCCAAATACTCCATTTGCCACAAAGTTGTTTGCATCAGTTGTCTGGTATAGATTGCAAGTAGCAGGGAGACTGTGTGGTGTCCTGGTCCTCAGACTTTTACCTGCCCTGCTCCCTGTCCTTCACTCTTTCTTTCCTTTGCTAATTGCAGCCTCATCCTGGGATCCTTTGTTTTCCTGGTCTCTTCTCCCGCATGTCAACTCTCCATAAGCTCCTCTTTTTGCCCCTTATTGTCTCCATGTGGTCCTTTCAAGTCTACCCTCCCCCACTGTTTAGGAGACTTTCTCTCCCTCATAAGCAATCTGGGTTATTCTGTGTGCCCACTTGCCTTCTCTCTTTTCTTGGCCAAGACCTATTACCTCCATCCCACCTCCTAATTTGTTTATATCCCAGCACCAGATGCAAACTGCACATTCTTTAAAATGCTGCTACATTTTAAATAAAAACAAGCCAAGTGGCAATCCATAAACCTCTATACATGTTATAAGGAAAATGATTTCTGCAAATTCGTAAAATCAGTAATTTAACAAATTGGTCATTTGGCACACTGATTATCCAGCGAATTGACATAATACTTGGGGTCCTCATTCTTGTCCTCATCAGATCATGTTTATTCCTTGCTCAGTAGACATTCCT